ACGTTCTGCATAACATCAACGATAAATTGACATTAATTGAAGATCAGTCTACCTTGAAAGCTTCATTGAAAAAAGATTTATCTATTTTCCAAGAACATTGTCTGGACTATTTGAGAAATTTACACGAAATATTTCACTTGAAGGATGCACAAAATCGACTTCAGTTTCGTTCACTGTTGAGGTACAGTCTCGAATTTATCTCGAAAATAATTAATTTCTTGGCGACAATATTTTAAAATCCAATTTTTTATTGCAGATTAATAATTAATTTTCGAGCATTTGACAAACGTATGGAACGGAATGTGATCAAAGCTATCAAGGTGTATATAAATATGAATATTATTAAGAATTATTATTTATTAGGCGAGTCAAAAGAAGGTGAACAAATGCAACTTTTCGAAAATTGTAGGTTAAAAGTGACTACCATCAGCTTTGAGGCGTTTGTCGCATTAAATAACAAATGTAGTAATTCCATAATCAGAAATCTTTTAGTTTGTGCTTTAGAAAGTTTTGAAGTTCTGCATCCTAGGATCCAGAAATACGCTTCCTGCACCTTTTCAACCGAGCCGAACCTGCAACCCTTCGGATGCTTTTTCAATACATTGAACACATGAAAGTAACACGATAAATGGTCTAGACTGTAGGACGAAATGCAATTAAGAATGAGCACAAACACTTATTACTAATTGCAAATCTCATATACTGTAATCCTCTAACCCGACACTAAAAGATTGCCCATTGCAAATGTATCTCCTAACAAACTTGAGAACTATGGGAAATTTTGCAGCACCCTCTCTACAGTCCGAGTGTTGTCAATGAACGGCAAAGGACCATTTATTGACAGCACGTGTGTTCGGTGAATTGAAAGAATATCTGAAAAGTTTCAGGCTCTCCTTGGGTGAAGTGGTGCAGGAGATTGTTAAAGACTTCCTGAAGCAGAAACCAAAAAATATCTACGGAATCACCAGGCTCATTATCTAAAAGACAAATGACACAATGCCCAATGACCATTACTTATACTTACAGATAACAGTTTGCGAAAAATTACGTTTGCTCGCTTTTATTTGACTCACTCTTACATTACTTTCTTCATGGTTTACTTATTCACCGTATTCATTAATTAACTTATATAGGAAGATTTTCGTATGTATTTTAGAAAAAAAATTCAATTGTTAGAAGACAATCAATCTGTAAGTTTAGTTTAAGTGTAAAGGCGAAAAGTTTTTGTATAATTTAATGTTTAATCGATAGCAAAATATCTTAAAAGGATGAACTGAAAACTGAATTAATAGAAAAAATCGCCTTATATCTTATAAACGATTTGGAACAATTAGATATTCAATTCCAAAAGTAAGTAAATATTTTACTACAGTATAAACATCTTAACTACACCCGATACATTGTAATAACCACCTTCAATTGCCGTATAACATCGGGCTTTAATTTGCCAAATTATATACGACTAGAGATTTTGATAGATATTAAACATGTCAATTTTTTAATGTAAACCCGAGTAAACATGATGTAAGCATCTCCGACACGGGTGAATTCACTTTCCGTTTCTCATCAGTTAAATTTATAAGAAAAGCTTATGGGTTGACAGTATACGACAACACAACACGAGAAAAAGCAATGCCTGTCGGAAAACTTTTATACAAAACAGGCGCAAACCCTGGCCCAACTATCAGTTGTTTAGTGGTTTATCCATTCAGTTAACATTAGGCTAGATTTAAATGTGTTGGCGTTGGCATTCGAGGTGGTGAAAGCGTAAACCTATCTCTCCGGGAATGCGGGATCGAAGTCCTACAGGAACAACTTTTTCTAATGAGCAGACTGTCCCGAATATGTACGGCCAGTCTGTTTCTACTCGGCTATCCCCATTCTGGATCTGGGCAAACTCATGTTGATAAAACGACCTCTTAGTGAAGACAAAGCCAAAAAAGTGTTAATCTTTTATTGTTTAATCTTAGTAATTAATTTTCTTTTATAATTTAACCGATAATTAATATGTTACTGAGATATTACTAAACAATGACATATTTATTTTCTTGGAATTTCCTAAATTAAATCAATTGTTTTGTAATCTTTGTTAACTTTTAACAATTAACATTGTATTTTCAGAGCTTCTAGTAATTTTTATACCTACACGAAATTCGTTTACGATGAAGTTGACAATACGGTAAATTTTAGAAATTATTTCAGTAATTTTTAGCTTTACAATTTCATTTGCATTGATAATGTACTGAAATTACAGATGAACGACGTAATTGGTGTTCACGTAAAAAATTTATTGAAGAAATCAATCACGAAAAACCAATTACGGAAATTACAAAAGATTTCCAACGCATTGACAAAACTTATAGAATATCTTCTGAAGAACATCGATGATATCAGGTAAAAGACTTTCAGTAATTAAAAATTGTAGCAATGTTGACTCTCCACATAACGCACTTTTTATTTTTGTCTTATTTTGCCCTGTGGGCACTAAGTGAGCCTTTTTAATAATATCAGCGTAGGTTTCACTAAACACTGATAGCTGATTATAGCTTCACACCTCAGCAACGCGTAGTTACATAGAGTTTTCCGGATTTTCTTCATATATAAGTAGAGACGAATTTCCCATAGAAAGTCTTTTTAGTAGGCAATTCCCACTTGTCAGATCGCCCTCGTGTTGCTGTATCTAGGAATTTTTCATGGGATCGGATTGGACTGATGATGATATTTCACAAGTCCAATCTAATCCCATGTAAAATTTCTTGAAGCTTTTTGCCAATATTTGATCTCGAGTCTGTCAAACTGATAGACTGACTTTTTAACTGGTTCGGCCGGATATAATGGATTAACATAAAGAAGTGTGATCAGATAATTGCAAAATTCTATTATATCCGAAGATGTCTTAATTATAAAATAAACCTCATATGGTATGCAATACGATTCATTGGCTAATGTATTATAACACATGGCAATTTGTCGTGGAAGGACACTATTGAAACCTGACTCCTACTTAGACGATTTATTCGTTTTCATCCGAAACCCTTATAATAGCGGGTCCTAAAACCACGGATATTAAATATATGAATATTTAATAAGTTTTTATTTTTAGAACTGGAAACAGTTTAAAATTGGAATCACTCATCACCTGGCTTGATACCAATATACAGAGCATAAATTTTTAATTTCAACAGAAATATCCATTAAGTATGCTTCTCTTCCACTATAAACCCTGTTTTCATAAATGTTTAATAATCGAAATATTGTGTTTTCTACAGATACGAAATGTCGGAAGATTCAAAATTCATTAATTCAAATTCTTGAAATATCTTGAAGGTGAACATTCGTATTAATGCTTTGTATAAAGAACTTCAACAAATCGTTTTATATTATAAATTTATTGTTTAAAAGCAAAACAAAATTAAATGAGATATGGATGAACAACTTTCAAACATTTTTAACTTACATAAAAATGTGTTTTATTTAAATATAATACAGTAACATTGATATTAATAAACATTTGTATTTTGAGAACACAAAGTAGTATTTATGTAAGGTCGCCGACTTTAGGGGGCAATACGTTAATTGCGCGTCAGGAAAACCTAGGATCAAACCGTATGTGGGTGGTGGCGGTAGGAGACAAAGATGACAAGTGTCTTACACGAAAACCGTTTATTTTGACATAAGGTTAATATACATAATGACAACAACAATGCGATCTAGATCGGCTTTGGTGGGAGCTCCTTGATGTCGACGAACGGGTGCTGACTGGTGTCCCAGGCTTGACAGGAGAGTGTCCGTTGCACATGGGCCTCTGTCCGGTGATGTTGCGGATGCACGTAGATTTTGGTCACTGGTGGAGAACCTGGTCCGAGTGGAGAACTTCGGAGAATCGGCTGGGAATTCCTCTTCGGAGAGAAGCGGCTGAGAATCTCTCTTTTTTCCTTGAGATTCGGGGGATTTATAAGATTTTCCCCGAATCTCACCCTTTTGATTGGTCCCGTTCACCCTCTCCCTTACCCCGATTGGTCATTCTTTTGTTTCTAGGCGAAACTTGAGACCGATCCGAGTCGGGAAAAGGTCGGAGAGGTGATGACGGGGCTTTTAATGTTCGCGCTCGTAATTTTCTCCGTTATGGCCCTTCTCCCGGACATCTTTGAACTTAAACTGTCCACCAGATGTGTGGTCATTTATCCCCTACCGCGTTCGGACTTAACAGATGTCCCTTTTGTTCCTAGACCCCCCTTTCTCTCGATTGCTTTGACCCGACACTTGTTCGCGAGCATCTCGACAAAGCTCTTTCTCTCTGTCAACATTCCCCTCTGTTGTTTATCATCGCGTCGCGTTTGTTTTACAATTCGAAAAAGTGTTCGTCCCATCTGGGTTCTGTCATTAACACACCCTCTTGACCCGATTCTGTCTTCGAAACTCTCCGACGTAAAAGTTTGTAATTAGTCGTAATTTCGACGCGCTTTTACGACCCTCACATTTACAAACAGTTCATTTTACACACAGGAACACGTGGTTACCTATCAAAGTGTTTATTATTTTTGCACAATATTCTTTTGTCTAGGGTCAGACCCTCAGATGTGCGACGATTCTCGAACGAATAGGTGTGTACAGTCAGAAGTGGGTCAGATGTCAAGGTCAATGTTTAATTGCGTTGAGCAGAATGTTGTCCTAGATATTTAACAATCAGTTTTGTCAGAACTGTTTACTTTTGATTCCTTTGTTATAAATTATTTCCACTTCGGTTATCAAATTGCTTTTATCACGTTTTAAATTATACGAAGTTTTATGAATTAAAAGTGCAATGACAATCAAACATGTTTTCATATCTCTACATCTTTATTAAATATATATATTACTAAAACATATTGCCGTCTTATAAACAGATCTTATTGTATTCGACTTTTTTTTATTACATTGTCTTTATATTATATTCGAATTGACCAGTTTATAACTTGTTAATATTCACGGATCACATTATATTTCATTTGTTTAATTCTATACTAATTGTAATTATGTAAAAATTAATTTTATATCCTTAAATTTATTTTCCGTTTCTGTTTTGTCACGTTTAAGGTGTTTAATTATTATTGCTATAATGCGACCGAACCTACGAATGGCGCCTTCCCGGCCATCACATAGAATTTCTACCAGAACCCCCATCATTGCAGGCGTCAGGTTGCCGGTGTGAAAGATGCCATTCAGGAACCACTTTCGACACATTACATACAAAGAACATACACACAGTTTTTTTAAACTGCGAAGGAATATTTCTTTTTAAACAACCCCCAAAACTATACATGTTTCTGAGCGTGAAGGAAGCCTTGTAATGAAGGGATTAAACTGTTGGAAACAATCGGATGATGTCTTCATACAGAATGAATGTAATTATTTTAAAAGGCATAATGAAAAACGATACAGTGCATTCTCGCCATCAACTACTTTTATGAGTATACTCGAGGAACACACGATTTGTGATATGCACGAATGATGTCATCCAGGTATTAAAACATTCACTCTTACATTTCGCTCGATGAACATATTGATAGAACATTGTTTTTTATTGGAATTGATATAGTTTCCGTTACCAGCATATAGAAATGACATCAATTGGAGAGCAACAACAGGAAATTGGAAGTAATACGTTACTTCGAAGATCATCTCGTTAATTAAGATTCCAATTTCTTTTTCTAAATAAACAAGTTTAACTGCAAAGGTGACACGCCTCAATTTTATTTAACCCTACGTTTATCTCTTCAACGCCTTTTCCTTCTGGAAAACGTTTTTCCCTCCCCTTTTCGCAAGATCGCCATTTTATTGCGTACTGATTAAGTGTTTTAAGTTGAGAGACAAAACACGAAGTGGATTGGTCTGTTACTAACCTATAAAACAATGGTAAATATCCTTGAACATGATTTGTTAAAAGGTGTTAGCCACGCCTTGTTCTACTTGCTTGATTGGACATTCCTGTATGTCACACCCTGCATAAACCGTAGTGGCCGTGAATCGTTATCGAACTATATCTGAATTGCGAATCAGACATAACACATATATGTAAGCGACCAATCTGCCAGCAATGCACATTAACCCCTTCATTAGAAAGCTTCTTTCGACATCACGCGCTAAAACACGTATACCTTTTGATTAATTAAAGCATTTTCATTAGAAATTTAAAAAAGTGTGTATATTTATTATTTGTAATTAGGGTTTCTCATTACCCGGTCTTTTACTTGTCCCGAGATTCCGGGATAAAAGGGAATTGTTACTCGGGATCCTGGGAAATCCCGGGACAAAAGTAATTATTTTTCATATATACAAAATATCATGTAATCAAATGATATAATTATTTTTCGTTTTTTAAAGTAATTTATGACGTTCTGGAACCTCAAAAATCATATTAATAATGCTGGGTAAGATGTATATTAAAAATTACCTTTGAATCGTGTTTAATGCATTTAAGAGAAGACACATATTATGTGTTTTTCACCAGTATCCTGAACGATTTCTAGTTCGTTTTCGAGATTGTAGTATTTCTTTTGTTCTCTAGTATTCTTGATTTGTCTACCTCGACTGCTTTAATATAATCATCATAGCCCAATAATTCGGCAGTTCGTTTGTCTTTAATAATCAGGTTAAGAAGAGAAACTTCATACTTGCAGACTTCGTAGTCGTTTGTATCCTTGCCGAATTTGCACAACTTGGCACTACGCAGTTACTGAAGCTACTGGGCATGGTTAAAAATTAGGACAGAGTAAACAGTTATTCCACATTACATGTAAAGAATTTTGAGAGTCCTGCCACAAATAATCTACGCAATGATTATTGACCATTTGTGACATGCCATAACCAGCAAAAATGTTTAAAATATAATAACTAGGTTTAAAAGTAATAAAAACAAATGCATTTTGACAGTTTCTGAGTTAATTATGCTTTCTATTTACCAAATTTCCTCAATCGTAACACAAATTCAGACAAAAGTGATTGTTTAAGAAATTTGAGGGAAATCCCGGGGATGAGACAAATTTCCCGGTTTAAAATGACAGCCGGGATCCCGTTTGAGAAACCCTATTTGTAATACGTGGACAATGGTTTCTGATTGGCATCTTTCCCGGATAAACAACTTTACAGGCAACTTCATACCTGCAATGATGTCTTTCCCGTAAAAATTCTATGTGATGCGTGGGAAGCTTCCATTCGTAGATTCGATCACGTTAAATATAAAACATATGAAAGGAAATTAAATGATATAAAACTCTTTATTACGTAAGTAGTATAGAATGAAACAAATGACATATCATGTGATCCGTGAGTAATCACCAATTATACAAAGGTCGATTCGAATGTAATATTAATATATAATCGATATAATGATAACATATTCACATACAATAAGATCTGTTTATAAGTTGCCAATATATTTTATTAACATATATGTAATAAAGATGTAGAGATATGAAAGCGTTGTTGCAAACTTGAACTGTGTATAATCAAAAAATATTTCTTGACGAAAAGAAATTGTCATTGCAATCCGAAGGCCTCTGATATCTGGACTGCTTGATGTCGGCATTGCGACCGAATTACTCCAGGACGGTTGCAAAGCGTTCATATACTTGTCGCACCGGATATGAATGCGACTGTAATGGTAGATAGGTGCGGACCTACAAATTACCATGTCTGCATGCACAATACCGAATAATCTGCATTATATCGTGGAACATTTGTATTCCACAATATATTCCATTTACTTGTATTCCACGATATATCACAAATATTTGTAATCCACGATATATTCCAAATATTCCAGAATATAATGCGGATTAATCGGTATTGTGCATGCAGACATGGTAATTTGTAGGTCCGCACCTATCTACCATTACAGGTGCATTCATATCTGGTGCGACAAGTATAAGAAGGCTTTGCAACCATCCTGGAGTAAGTCCTTCGCAATGCCGAAACCAGTCAGTAAAGACATAAGAGCGCTAGTTATACGCCACAACCAGGAAAACAGAACTGTCGCCGAAATTAGCAACATTCTTAAGATCTCACCAAGAACTGTCTCTCGAATCATTAAGCTGTATCAAGAGACGAATTCCCTGTCGCCAAAGAAGTCGACGGGCCGACCTAGGAGTATGACTGCAGAACAAGATGCTCAGCTGGCGTCGACCAGTCGGGCGGATCCGTTCGCTATGGCCCCATGCTCCGAGAGCAACTGCACCTGAATGTGTCAAACGACACTGTAAAAAGACGGTATGTAACATTTGTATGATAGTAGTCACACGTCCTTCCAATACATTAGTAACATGTTCTTGCATATACAGAAATGTAGAAAGCAGGATATTACATATATATTTATTTCATTAATAGGTTGAGAGAAAACAAATTGTTTGGCAGAAGAGCAGCACAAAAGCAAAACCTGAACCCAGCCAATAAACGTGACCAGCTACGGTTTGCAGAAGACCACATCAATTGGACAGCCGACCACTGGTCGGCTGTCATCTTTTCAAACGAAAAGGTCTTCTGCTCCGAGAGTAGCGGGACCGTTTGGGTGCGTTGCCCGCCGTCCACACGCTACGACGAGCAATACGTGTGGCGCACCCAACGAAGCGGTCGATTTTCGTTATGTGAGTATTCATAATTTGTGTATTTGTCATTAGCCTTGCAGGCTATTAATTTGTTGTTTTAAACCGGAATTTTCATGTGTTATACAGAACAACCTGAATGTGGACTTTTCTGTTTGCAGGTGTCTGGGGTTGGATGTGTGCCGCA